TCACTACCAGCTACGCCACACACAGCCCGGACTGGGAGTCCCACACCTGACAGGGCTCTCAGTCCTGGCTGCACATGTGCACGACTGAAGGTCCCATCCGGTACCGGGACTCAGTCCCAGATGCGTGTTTCATACAGCCAGGACCAATATGCCAGTCATGAGTCTAGGTTCCAGCTGCACGCGTGAGCCCAGCGTTTCATGTACCCCCAAGCTTTGGGGAGGACAGTAGCTGCATTCTCCCAGGCCCAGGGGTTTCACACTGGGCATGGTGCACCTCCATGACTGGGAGCCCTGTCAGCTGATGGGCTCCCAACCACAAGAAAGACCCTACTACACACACAGTCTTAAAGTAATTGCAAAATTGACCAATTAATTGTGCTATACCTGAAATGTGTGTGTGGGGAGGAAGGGGGTGTCTAAATGGCCTATATGCTGCTTTTGTCTCTTTTCTCCAATTTACAGATATTTGGTGGCACTGACAGCCTAATGTTCTTTTGCTTCTACAGAACTAAGAACACAAGTAGCACATTGCATATTTTTATGTCAGTTTCCTGCCAATGTGTCTTGCATCTGACCTACAAGATAATTGAATCTCCAAGCCCATTCAGTTCTTGGCAACTGCAGCTGTGGTTTTGTGATATATCTACTACTATAGGAAATAGAGCAAGATGGCCAAATCATTTTATATGGGCTATCAGTCAGCAATTACACAGTACAAGCGTCAGTTAATACTGGCCTGGACTGAATTTTAATAGGTATTCAGAGGTGAAACTATTTTGTCCAGTACTGGTTCCAAATCTATCCATCTGTCTCTGTTTTTACCCATACATGAAAATTACACACCTGAAATTATCTACTATGTTGAAAATAAAATTCTCAGGAAACTGTATCACCTAACTACAGATAAAACCAAGAACACATGGCACATAGCTATGCCAATTTTGCTACGCATAGTAACAGAAACTTAATGGACTTTTCCTATAATAATAATAATAATAAACTAGAAAAAGCCAGACATTTTAACTTTAATATTCTGGACCTACAAAAAGTAGAATGATGTAACTGAACCCTGATTGTTACTCTTTTTTACCCATAGCCTAATGCTATAAACATACACAATTTTGTCTGTCAAGTGAATGCACGCAAAATGCAGAAATTCCTACTAAAAAAAAAAAAAAGATCACCAAGGTATTTGGTAAAAAAAAATATAAACAGGAGCTGCACTGGAACATATAACAAGAGTTGGGTTTTTAGTCCTTTTCTTAGTCGCCTAGCCACAGTTTATCACCTTTCTTCAGAAAATTACCTTATGCTATTTTTCCCCCCGCAAACTCACATCCAGCCCTTGTGTTATCTCAAGTACAGGGTATGCACTGTGTCTCCTCTATGGTGACATCTTTAACCCACGTAGTGCCCTAGGGTTGATATAGGGAGACTATTCCACTGAGGGCTAGGTCCAGGCCCCAAGCAGTAATAAGAACTGGCCAGGCATGCCTCATTTAACCCTTAATGCCTTATCCTGGGCCACTTCCAATCTCTTTCCCCAAGACATTTTTCTGTACTACTTTTGATGCTCATAACTATTCACTCTGTCACCTCTGGATTTTAGTACCATCTTCTTCCTGGTAATTCCTCCCTCACTGGGATCCCTACCCAAGACTCTGAGTAGATATTACTCCTTTGGCTTCCCAGCCTGTGTTAACCTTCTCTACCTAACTAATAGTCTTTATAAGGCTATAGTAGGTGAAGTCAAAAATGGTAGACAGACTAGCTCTTAAGGGGGATGCCTGTCTATACATAATATGAGGTTCTGGTCGCATATGTCCCTAGTTCTAGTCAACATTGGTTTGTGACAGCAAACTGGGATTTACTTGTAATGCAATTTTAATATATATTTTAATACAATAGTTTTACAAGCTGTGCATGTGTGCAAATACTGAATTTAAACCATTCAGAATCAAGCTAGAAGAGGCTTTTAAAAAATAAACTTCATAAAAAAATCAGAGTTTTAATACTTGATGCCTAGCTGTTTACATTTAAAAAAAAATTCTGGGTGTTCAGTATAGAAAGCAAGTGAGTTTGCAAATAGCAACCATAAAAAAATTGGTGCTGTCACAGAATCCTGAACTTTGAGAATCTGAGCTAGGCAAACTAGAATATCTTAGGGTTTATGTAATTTTAGGAATATTTTGGTTAGATCACAAAGTCTGGATGCTAACATTGCAAGAGTGATTTATATTGCCCTATTGTACTTACAAGCAATTCACACTTCCACAATAACAAAACTAATGTAAAATCTGTGGAAATGGAGATCTTCCCTTGATATATTTTATTAGACCAAATAAAGTAGTTAGAAAAATTGTTCTTTGCAAGTTTTTGGACACAAACAACCTTCTTTAGCCATAGAGAGAATCTGCTGCTGTCATAGATTCTCCCTATGCCTAAAGAAGAGTGTAAGAGAGAACCAGGTGTAGCACAGCATAAGAGATAACCAAGTTTAGCACAAAGCTTAATAATAGGGCAGAGTGGCAACAGGCTGTTAGCTCAGGGTGCCTACACATGATTAGGAGCCCTGCTTTAACTCATAGAATCAATGAGTCGGAAGGGACCTAGACAGATCATCTAGTCTGACCCCCTGCCATGGGCAGGAAGGAGCACTGGGGGTGGCAGGGGTCATAAGATCCCAGCCAGGTGCCTATCCAGTCTCCTCTTGAAGACTTCCAGGGAAGGTGAGAGTACCACCTCTCTGGGAAGCCCATTCCAGGCTCTGGCCACCCTTACAGTGAAGTAGTTCTTCCTAATATCTAACCTAAACCTATCCTCTCTCAGCCTGTGGCCATTGTTTCTGGTGACCCCAAGGAGGGCCCTGGTGAACAGACTTTCCCCGAGTCCCTGCTGGTGGCCCCTGATAAGGTTGTAGGCAGCCACAAGATCCCCCCTCAGTCTCCTCTTCTGGAAACTCATGGTGCTTTACACAAAGTGCCATGAGTTAAAGCCCCACACCCCTCCCCTGACCCAACAAATATTTGCTTGTTGGGGGGTAGGAGAGGGAGAGGGGTAAAAATTGAGCCTGCCTGCACTGGCCCTAGCCAGCAGGCAGGGGTGCTCCAGCGACCTCTGAGGAGGCTGCTGAATTGCCCCACTCCCTAACCCCACACCCAGCTTGGGATCATTTGAGGCTATGAAAGCATCTAGCATAGCACCTGATAATCTGAACACAGATGCTTTCATAGCATCTGACAAAACAAGCTGTTGCCCACAAAAGTTTATGCCTTTTTGAATGACTTAGTTTCTATGGTGTCACCCTGCCTTGCCTTCCGCTTGACTTGAAATTAACATGGCTAACTACTGCTCCCTGCAGAGCTGAATGGTGTTTCTGTTATCAAAACCCAACCCAATCTCACTGACTTTTCTGTTAGCCTGTGGGGCCAAAGAGGAAAAAGGGATGCATAAAGAAGATTATCTACAAATATGTTATTTCATTAAGTACTTTAAGCATTCATAATGGAGATTGATTAACACGAAACATAAGAGAATCCAAGAGTGATCTAAGTTAATAGAAAGCTCTCAGTTAAGCCTCCTTCATTTGCCCACTGTACTCATGTCTGTGCTTTCTCCAGATCCCAGTCTACACATTAACAAATATAAAAATTTATTTCCAGTAGGGAACACCAGTTCACAAACACATCCCATGTATTATGCAACACTACAGAATATACAGTAATAATCTATAATTGCTAATTAATAGCTGTAAAAATGCATTTCCTTTTCTCAAGCACTTAGAGGGAAAGTAATGCCAGAGTACTGAAATGCAATTACCACTTTATGGATTAAGCAAATGTAGTTGATTTTGGTTTACTTTAACCTCTCCCCAGACTACAAGAGCAGTTCTTGGCAGAGATTTTTCTACCCAATTGAAAGATTAAAACAGTAAAAAAACAAAAACAAAAACAAAAAAAAAAACACAGAAAGATTAAGCTGTCACATCCAAAATCATAAAGCCATCAAGGGCATGTGCGTATGGCATGATGCAATGCCAGAGTTACCCAGGCTACCTTATTCAGTAAGTCCAATTAGCCAGGACAGAGCACTGCATTAACATGGCTATTTCGCTTCCCTTTCCCCAGCTGACATTTTCAGAGATGGTTTCAGTATCTCAACACAGGAATTCATTGTGCCATGATGATATACTCTAAATGACAGTGCGGGGAACAGAAGTGAAAAGTCCAGACTCCTAGCATCCTCCTGTAACTATTAACCCATGATTCAAGGGAGGACAAATGTTAGGCCCATTCAGCTTGACAGAGTTAGTAGTTATGTTCAACAATAATAAACTTCTTTCGTCTTCAGTCCTTTCTAGCCAAGGAACTGCAAGTGGTTTATAAACAATAATTGATTAAGCCTAATGCCAAGACTGTGACAGGTAAATATTATTATTGCCTTTTTGCAAAACAGAGAAACTAAAGGGGTTGTCACAGTACATAATTATCATGAAGTAATCTACCATGGATATTACTCTACTGTAAATTTACCCTGTGGTAAAGAAAGGAGACACAACCAGCTCTGGCAAGCTAGCTGCCTGCACTAGGCACTTTTATACTGCCTGGCCACTCAGCTTCAACACAGGGTAAAAGTGAAGTCACTGTGTGTAAAATGTGTTGTGTCTGTCCCCTGATTCATGGAATGTTTATTTAGCTGTGATAAGTCTGTGACACCACTGGGAACAGACCCCAGATCTCCCAAGTTCACACTGTCCACCTTATTGAAGGAGTAGTGTTCTGGTCCCACATTAAGTACTGTATCAGTGTTACCCCCCCCTTACGGTTAGTGGTTGGAAACGATCTATAAAATTATATAAAATATAAAAATATATCACACAAAACATTCTCTAGCACAATTAGATTCGACTCAGATATGATTTTATGATATCCCAATACTTACATTGTCATAATTGATATATAACCAAATAATAGATTTAAAATCCCAGAAGGCAACCTTACCATAGAGAGCCTTTGCACTCGTTTTCGAACTTTGTTCCCGTTCTGCCTGTGCAAAGGTGGGTGAGCCATATCCGCTGTAATAAAATGATCACGGTTAGTTTATTTACAGGTCTGTAAAGTACAAGTAGAAGGCCTTCATGAAGGCTTGTAAATATATACAAGGACACACTCATACCCTAGTACTACCAATTGGGGCAACAATAATGCACATCCCATGTCATGTGCTAATCATGCACGATTTACTCATACTGTAAACTACCTGGAGCAGAGCATGGGTTTGTACAGAGCACAGTGGGCCTTGGTCCAAGATTGGGGCTTCCAGTTACTACTAGAAAACAATTATTACTGTCATCAACATAATAAATAACAATAACAACAACATGTCAAAAAGGACTTTGAATTTGGTGTGATTTTTCCCTCATTTTTTTTTAACGTGAAACTGTCTACTGTTCTAAAAGTTCAGTGTTTCTCTTATGAAAAAGGAAAAGACCAATTGATTACACTGGGCTATAATGAAAAGAACAAGAAATTTCTTCCCTGAGTAAATACAAGAATGTTTCACAAATATCCAAAAGGCAGGCTACAGTGGCACCTCAGGATAATGTGCATGTTACACTTAAACCATGCTAAATCTGTGGGATGTTAAGTGGTATTAAAGTTAGAATGTGCTATAAGCAGTCGCACGTTAAGGGTTAATACAATTTCCTGTCTGCACCAATCTCACTTGCCACTATAGGACTAGTGGGAAGAGGTGTAACTAAGAGCTCAGACACCCTCTCTCTATTCCTGCTTTGGGTGGCAGGGGAGAGGCCAGAGGAGTAGTGGCAGAAACATGGAGCTTGGAGGCTTAGAGGCCTGGGTACTATGGCTTCACTCCACAGCCCCCAACTCCCTTCCTCCTCCCCACCCCCACTTCTCATCCTGGAGTGGTGGGAAAGGCCTTTGCTGCAGAAATTAACCTCAGCTCCATGCTGGGGCCAGGGCTACCAGAGTTTAGTATGGTGGCAGCATGGAGCCACAGGGAAGCACATGTCCTTGTTGTCTAAGGCTCCATCCTTCTGCTGTGCAAAATCCTGGGGATCCATCCTGGTAGTACAGTCCTCTTTCTGCTCCCCGCCTTAACCCCTAGACTAGAATGGGAGGTGTGGAGGGAAGCCACAGCACCCATTAAGTTGCCTAGCTAGGAGACAGCCAGCAATGCTTGGGAAAAATGGACCAGGAGGCATGGGAAAATTTCAATTAACTTTGAGTAAATGAGTTAATTGAACATTTCTGTGGCCTTTGTCTGGTTCTGAGTGAAAGCCTTGGAGGGCTGAGACTTGGTTGGGGGGTAAGGGGTGGAAGCTGGGATCAGGTCAGCAGGGGCTAATGGAGGGCTCCCCACAGCACAGACCTTACCCACTATCCCCATCCAAGGACAGGAATGCAGAAACCTGCAAAGGGAAGCCAGTGCCCCCATGCCTTTCCACCTCCCAGCTCCATACCCAGACTATTGCAATTGCCCTCCTGGAATCGGCAGGGCAGGGTCCCACCTGCTACTAGACAGTACCATCCCCTGGGCAACAGACAAAAGAAATGCATGCTCTTCAGTACTAGATTAAAATCAGTTCATTTCTGTAGACCGATGCCCTGCCTCTGTCAGTTAGCAATATGTCACCTGCCCAGGAAAGGTCAGGTACCAGCCCCCACCAGTAAACATATACACACATTATGCCATTCTGTGCAAGGGGAGAGGGAGATATTTTCTGACCCATGTAAAGAATGGTCTAACCTCTGAAGAAGGAGATAAATTTATGCTTGGATTTAGCACAGACTTAATCATTTAATTATCCAAACATAAATTGGGGTCACCCTCTCCAAACAAACAAATACATATCTTATTGCTGCTGTGGTATATCTCCTTGCTACAGACAGGCTGAAGAGGCCATTCAACAATATGGCTTTAAATTACTACCACTAAGACAAAAAAATGCAATGTATTGAGGTTGTTTTTCAATGTGGTTACATAATACAGAATCTGAGAATTCTCTTTCAAAAGTGTCACATTTTTATTATGGCTATTGATGATTTTTGTTTTGCTTACAAATGAGAAAACAAACTTATTTTTTCTTGGTAGGTGAGGGAAAGAGTGAAGGAGAACTTACTTGATTTGAGAAGTGTAATTTCCATATCCACCAGAAGGGGTATTTGAAATATGTCCATTCATTCTAATCTTCACTCACTAAGGGAAACTCTGGAGGAAAAATAAATATGTTAAGTTTATATGCTGGAATTATACACATAGGTTGGGTATGGAAGTAGAAACAATTAGAAAAATATGATACACATCTGAAAGTTAAGAAGGAAGCACCACACACAATTTAAAATTATTGTAATAGTTACAGTAGATTCTAGGGGTGCTCCTATAATACTCTAGAAGCCTGTAACGCTCCATGCCATTGAAGAGTAGAATAAAGGATGGCTCCTGTCCACAGGAGCAAACAGTCTAAGATTACATAAAACATTCTTAAAGTTTAAATGTAAACAGTTTGGTATCCCAGAAGAATCCACTGTGTGTTAAAAAAGGCTACATTTGAAGAACTTGTAAACAATGAAACTTCTTTGTCCACAATATTAAGGTGAGGTATCCTCCATATGTACATGGAAGATTTACATTAATATTGGGGAAAAAAACATTCAATGGATGGATGGATGTAAGAGGAAAGGAAAAAAACCACCTTGATATTTGGGAAATAGCTGTAAGACTGAAGTAGATAATATTCTAGGCAAATCAAGTATCTAACAGCACTGATCTGAGTCATGGTTGCCAAACTTAAAACACAGAGAACAATCCACTTTACATGATCAACTAAAATACGAAGTAGTGTCTTATTCTCTATAGCTTTTTGTCACATCACTCGATGCTGTTTTCTCTCATCTTTTAAATTCATGTCTCTCCCTCTTGAGACATGGTACATGTCATCGACAGGGAAAGTTTGAAGGAACTAAGTATTTTTAGCTTAGAGAAAAGGAGATGTAGAAGAAATAACAGTTTTCAAATATTTGAAAGGTTTGACATAAAGATGATGTAGACCAAATACTTTCCCTTGTTTCAGAGAGCAGGATACAATACAATGGGTTTAAACTTCTGCAAAATGTCAGAGGAAAAAATTTCAGGGTGGGATGGAGGAAGGGGAGGAGGGAAGAGACACACAAAACCTAATTTTCAATGTGCTACTGCCCTGACAGTAAAGAATTTATCCACGGAAGTTGTGGAATCTTATTCATGGGAGGTGTTCAAGAGAAGGCTGTATAAGCATTTGTCTGAGAAACAAGTTTAGAAATGAAGCATCTTGCTAGTTTGTGCAGGGGATTGGTCCCTGGAGGTTCCTTCTAACTCCCTAATTTTTTTCCCCCTATAGAATGGATAATTTACTACTTCCCTGTACTTGGCTAAATTAAAACATTCTGTGATCTCAGCAAAATTTGCCAGCTCACAATTCACCCCTCCTTTTAGATCAATAAATATACTAAACACCATGGCATCTAGTCCTGATCTCTTGGTTGTGCTACTACTAACATCTTTCTACATGGAGAATTGCTCATTTATTCTTATACCCCTCATCCTCTCCCCTGTGTCCCTTAGTTCTTTAGTTTGACATCCCTTTCCCATTCACCCTGTATTTAGTTTCCTTTGAGTGACTGAATGAAAAGCTTAACTAAAATATATCCACCAGTTGTCTTTTATGCATCATTTATAATAAGCTTTCAAAACTGTTAACGGTTCATTAATTGCACTGGTCTCACCATTTCATGATCTGTGTGTTTACATGTTAAACTTCACAGCTGTATTTTCAGGGAACTACTGTTTTTCTAGATCTAGATGGAGGCAAATTGATTGTTTCCAGAATTTTTAAAATTCTTGAGATTGAGTATAAACATCCCATTCCTCCAATACAGATTACCTTATTTAACAGGAATAGTATATGTTTATTGACAGCTACATTAATCTTTGATTTCGTAAAAAATCCCTAGTATTTTGTTTCTATTTATAGCCTTTACTTTGTAAAATGAGGGAAAGAAACAAATATCTTCAGTAAAAATCAAATCATATATTAAGACTTGCAATAAATATATGGAGCAAGGCATACAGACTGCAATTAAAATTTAAACTGGAATGCAGTGCTGTTTACACTCATTTACAATAGCTCATGAAGTAGATTTTCATGTGATCAGAAAAAAGCAGCATTTTTAGTTACATAGACTATTATAAATAGTTTTTTTTAATGCATCTTCTATACTTCTTTTAAGTTAAATGAAGAATACTCTGGAAATTGTCATGATACATACATACTTAAAACCCCTTTCAATTCTTACGCCAAGCCACCCCAGGAAATCAAACCAAACTATATAATAGTAAAAAAAAATTGCTCTTAATTACTGAAATTGCATTCCTTTTAAGCCCAACATGCTAAAATGATACACTAATAACATTCAACATTTTAAACCCAAGTGCGTCAAAAACAGTTTTAGGAAAATATTTGCTTTTCTTTAAACCAAATGTGTAATGGTCGGGGGAAACAATTTAAAAAAAAAAAAATCTCAACAAAACTGTCCCACAGAAAAAACACTAAGAAAACAGTGTTAAACAAGTTACTCCCTAACAACAGCTAACAACAACTCCACTTCCTTTTTAATTTTTCCTCTCACCTCAACCCAGCAGTTTACAATTAAGTAAACTGGTATCACTTGCAGATATTTTTAGGATAAACATCCTTCAAAATTACCTGTAATATGTACCTGTAAATGGACTTGAATCATCAGAATGGTATTTATGAAACTTTTTTCCCCTACAGAGTATTATCTGCTTCAAGGTACTACTATACTTTAATACTGCTATGAGAAATTAGTATCAAAAGGAATAAAACCCCAATTATAAATTAAAGTAATACCATAGGTAAAAAATATATAACAGACATAATCAGTGCAGTACTATCACAGCAGAGTTTTTACTTCGAAAAAGATGACTGCATGATATCCTGCATGGATTTCTCAATGCTAGGTGGTGGGCAGCAGAATAAAACGTAAGGTCTGGAGCTTTTGTACTGATTCAGTTATTTCAATGAGGCACTGATTAAAAAAAGAAGATAACATTGTAAAAATTAGTAGAAACCCTAATACCAGTAAAAGGGTACTTTATGATGACATAACTTAATTCATAAAACATAACCATTTCTAAGCATGTGAATAATGTGGCGGTGAGAACTGTACCATTTTCACCACACCACCATCATTAGCAGTACACTGTATATGTATAAACAAGTTGGTAACTAGTAACATTGAAATTTGATGCCACCTGATTTGCTATACATACCTAGGATAATTTTTTGTATAGCTATCTGACAGAATCATAGTAAAACTGAGCTGGGAGGGACCTCTGAGGTTATCTAGTTCAACTCCATGCTCAAGACAGGATCAGCAGCTCTAACTAACCTTAACCCTAACAAACCATTCCTGTCAAATGTTTGCCTAAACCACTCTTCAGAAATTTCCAAAGATGGAGATTCCATCATTTCTCTGGGAAGCCTGTTCCAATGTTTAACCACCAGCAGAGTGAGAAAATTCCTCCTACCATTTAACCTAAATTTCCATTGCTACAGTTTTAGACCATTGATCCTAGTTTTGTTCACTGCAGCCAGAGAAGAGTCTACGGTATCTTCTTTATAACCACCCATCAGGCATTTGAAGACTTACTAAATTGCCCTTTCGCCCTCTCTCTCCAGACTAAATAATTCTAATTCTTTTCTCCTTTCTTGGTAAATCATCTTTCCCAGACCTCTAAATCTTTGTGCTACTCTTTTGGACTCTTAAAATGGACTCTAATTATTCCACATCTTTTTTGAAGTTCAGGGTCCAAAATTGGACCCAGTATTCCAGGTGAGGCTGAACCATTACCAAACCGACTGGAAGGAACATTTTCCTTGTTTTGCAAGTGACTTAACATTAACATAGCCTAATATACTATTGCTTTGGGTTTGTTGGTTTTTCCATACACTGTTGGCTCATATTCAGTTTATGCTCTGCTGTAATCCCCAGGTGCTAGTTTTCCACCATGGAAGCCTAACTGAGCATTCCCCAGTCTGTATTTGTCAAGTCAAGTCAAATCAGTCCCGAGACCTCGTGGACCATTGGGAAACCTCTGATGTATCAATAACTTCCTTCCATTCTTCCCAGTCTTTTGCAACCCTTGTACAGTCAGTCAGTTTTAATCCTGTCCAGTTTTTGATCTCGGTGGTTCTGCTTGTCCCAGGTCTTCCTCCTCCTCTTCATCCATCCACAGCAACCTACACGATGGTGTTGGTAAGTGTGTTGGGCCTTCTTGTTACATGTCCAAACCACTGCATTTTTTTTCTTATGATTTCAAGTAAGGATTCGCATTTGCTAACTCCCTGTCTGATTTGATCTTTCACATATTTATTTGTTCTGTGTGCAGCGTAGGGTGGGTAGAAGTCTTCTGAAGCACCACATTTCAAAGGTCTCAATTTGCTTTTCCAGTGCCCTAGTGTATGTTCAGGTCTCATAGCCAGAGCTGCTGAAGTGACAATAGTATATAATAGGTGGAGTTTTGTTTAATTGTGAGGTTGCTGCTAGTTCAAGATTTCCTTCAGCTTTGCTAATTGTTCAATGGTAATGACTATTTTTGAGTGTACTACTTTTTTCCACTTTGTTTGTACTACTTCTGTGATGGCTGCTTCAAGGTATTTAAAGTGTATTACTTCTTCTAGCTTCTCATTACTAATTTTTGCTGATGCATCATTATTACTTGCTGATGTTATCGTTACTTACTGTACTTGTTACTGTATTTGTTGGGGTGGGCAAAATATAGCTCGTATATTTTATACGGCCTGCAATAGGTCCTTCAGCCTCACCCGGCTCAGGTGTGGGGAGCAGCCCAGGCCGTGGCACATGCGGCTGGTCCCACTGCCCCTGGGTGTGCAGCAGGCCTGGGGTGGCTCAGCAGCTGGACTTCACTTCTCAGAAGCCCTGGTAGTGGTGGCTGCTTCCAGTTGCCACTGCCACTGTTGCCACTGGACCCAGCCCTGCTGCCCAGGCACCTCAGTTTGCCCACTGTGCACCCAACCAGGGATGCCGGACAGAGCAGGTGGGCAGGGTGTCCATAGAGACTGGCTCAGGACCTCTGTGGGCAGGGCACACTCAGCCAGGTAGATAGGATCAGGCCATCGGTGGGCAGGGAGCAGAGTCCAATAGTAGGACAGGCAAGTGGGGCTGGGATCACCAGGCAGTGACTGTGCAGGGCCAGGGCAGAACTGAGATCTGCTCCCCTCACAACAAATAGTGATCGGTCCAAACTGGGAGGAGGGCACAGTGCGCATCCATGATCCAGTTCCTGATGCAGTTGAGTGCTGTGGGGCAGCCCTGATAGATTGTGGCCAGAATAGGCTCCACCATGCTACTGGGCTGCACCGCTTCACAGCCATACTGTACTGGGGCTGTCCGCGCACATGCGTGCTGGGGCAGGCGCAGCAGGTGCTGGGTCACAGGTGTGAATTCCACACCCCCCTCCCAAGTCAGGCTAGTCATGATCTGTTGTGCAAGGAGTGGATCACAGCTCTGCCCTGACCCCAGCCCCACACTGGCACCTCCCCTCCCTCCCTCCCACAGGAACCCCCAGTTTGGGTCTCA